GCGCACAGACACACATGTAAACTCATAAATCTATCTAGACGTTTGCCTGGTGGTACGCAGAAGGGTGGTCCGAAGCTATTTACTAAACCTTGGTGACCAAGGACAGAGTTTATCATCTGTTCTAACTACTTGCGGCTATCATTGACGGTTTTCTATCTTAAGAAAGCTAAGGATATAACTACTATGGCAGCATCAGCCAGAATGCTTTTGCAAAACCGACCGACACTTGACCAAAAGACATCCGCTGTCGTTCCTGTTAGATCAGCCTTGACATCACGGTCGCACACTTTGATTTAAAATAGAAGTGGGTTCACTAATTTTTTGCACTAATGGTAAACACATTTAAAGTTAGATTCAACTAAAAACCTACTACTTTCTTGCACTCATAATGCGAAAATTTACCTGGGGTTTTCTGACTTTCCCATTTAACTTACTTTTCACATAGGACGTTATGGAATCGGAAGAGTTTTTGCTACTACCCAAGAATCATTTTATTGACATAATCTCCTCTGACGAGCTGAATGTTCGCAGTGAAGAACAGGTTTATTCAGCAGTAATGCGATGGGTAAATCACAACTTGATTGACCGGCGAAATGACCTTGGCCAGCTGCTTTCAGCCGTCCGACTGCCACTAGTTTCTCCAAAGTTTCTAGTGGCTACAGTCGGTAATGACATTCTCATACGGGCTGACGAAAAATGCCGTGATCTCGTTGATGAGGCCAAGAACTATCTACTCTTGCCTCAGGAGCGCCCACTAATGCAAGGTCCTAGGACCCGCCCTCGCCGGCCAATTACCTCAGCAGAAGCACTTTTCGCTGTTGGCGGCTGGTGTTTTGGCGATGCGATTGATTCGGCTGAGCGATACGACCCGCTACCACCGCCCTCAACTTCGTCGACATCTTGCTCGCTTAGTGTTGATGGCGATACTTCAGATCCCGAAGGACAGTGGCGGTTTGTGGCTCCTATGAACAGGCGCCGATGTGGCGTAGGCGTAGGCGTAGTCAATGGCCTTCTCTATGCTGTTGGTGGTCATGACGGAACTAGCTACCTTAATTCAGTAGAACGGTAAGTGATATATATATGTATCACATTTGTCCCATTATCTGATTTCATTTTTTCACTATTATACAACTCCGAGTCTAAATGCAATCCAGTGCAATCAGTGTCCTTCCTTTTTTTGGGGAAAAATATTGGGTTTCATAGACAGGTTCCAGTGTAAAACATTATATTTTCAACTAAGGATAACTATTCGAATTGAATTTCTTGCTTAGTCTACTTCGTTCATGTCTAGTTTTCGGCACAATAATATTATTATGAGATGTATTTACCCTATTTCGTTTATGGTGATAAAGAACTGGTAGTAGAATTTTCCCACAAGGATATGAGTAGATTTGACGTTTCCATTGAATTTCAAATAGTTTTGCTTTTCCAAAAGTTGTTCTCATCCAGTGTGTACTGCAGTTTCGACCTCGCATAGGTCTTATCAACACCCCCAGTGGGAGT